GGGTTTAAAAAAAGCAGTGTTGTGGCCTTTTTTTTTTTTAATTCAGTAGGTGAAACATAAAATCTGCCTGTAGTTTGTTTTCAAATAAACCATTGTTAGAATTATAGTGATTAGTATTGAGGGCAGGGATAAGGGGGGTGGGGGTGGGGGAGGCACGGCTTTGCAGTCAGAAAGACTTTAGTTCATGTCTTTATTCTACCACCTACTAGCTGTGTGACTACGACAAGTTGCTTAGCTTTTTTGAACTTCAGTTGTTCTTTTGTGGAATAGAGGTAATACCTATCTCATAGGAATATGTGATAGTATCATAGAGATGATTAAATGAGATATTATACATAAAATAATTTACATAGTGCCTGGGACATAGTGAGCACTCAGTATATGGGAGATAATAATGATCATTTATATTAATATAGTCTATATTAAGAGGAAAGCGATAGTAATGGTGCTAGCTATTTTTCAATAGTTTGGTACATAAAAAAAGACTAGGAATGAATAAGTGGAAATTGTTTACGTCCTGTCTAACATAACAAACACTATCATTGATACTTAGCTTTTATTTCACTTCAGACTTTATGTTTTGTTCTGTTCCAGATGCTACAAATATTGAAAAGAAAAAGACACTAGATTTGACTAGCTTACGGTTAAAGTAGCAGGGATTAATGCAGCTATTTAATTAAATTACTCCACTGCTACTGATATGCAAATATATAGCACCTTACAGTCTATAATAATGTGAATGTTATACATAACTGCAATATAATAAGCACTATTAACAGTGTCTTCCCTTTACTTCATGCCTAAGACTTTTAGAAATCTTATTTAATCCCCTCAACAATAGTATGAAGTGGGTATTATTATCACTATTTTCCATATGCCAAAACTGAAGTTCAGAAATTAAGGAATGTGCCCAAGTTTAATCCATTCGCACCTAAACGACCAGTATGAAACAAACCAAATTGCTTTTAATAAGTAAAAAGAATCCCCTACTGATATCTTCCTTTATTTTCTTAGTTTAGGTAGATTAGCATATACATCATACTACACGGACCCATATCCCTATTCTGTCACTTATTAGCTATTTTACCTCCTCAAGTTATTATTTCATCTTTATGTCCCTCAGTTTCTTCTTCTATTAACTAAGGATAATTATAATACCTGCCTCAAAAGGCTGTGATGTTTATTAAATCAATCTGTTTTTTTTTCCTACTCTTGGAACAGTTCCTGGTATGTAGTAAGCTCCATATTAGTGACCAAAAAATAAATTAACAATAATAATAATAAAGTACAATAATAAAGTACATACAAAAACACCTTA